AGTCGGGCTTTATGAATGAGAGCGAAAGGGGCACGGCGGGAGGGGGGGGGGGGCGAAGGGACGAAAGCAAATAGTCTACGGCTCAGATTAAAGGGATCAATGGCGTGATGTTCGAAAGTTTAAGCAAATGAATATCGATGCCTTTTCCAGGTTTAAGCACCAAACAGCACACACGCACATGCTGTACAGTGTGAATATGTATATATACATATATATATATATATATATATATATATATATATATATATATATATATATAATACATACACACACTCACACACACACACACACACACACACACACACACACACACACACACACACACACATATATATATATATATATATATATATATATATATATATATATATATATATATATATATATATATACATATATATATATATATATACTATATATATATATATATATATATATATATATATATATATATATATATATATATATATATATATATATATATATATATATATATATATACAGACACACACACAGATATGTGTACATATATACATATATGAATATATATATATGTATATATACTTATATATATAAATATATATATTTATATAATATATACAACATGTATATTTATATATACACACACGTACACACACATATATGTATAAATATGTATATATATGTATATATACATATATATACACGTATATGTTTTTGTGTCTGTGAGCGCGCTTGTGTGTGTGCGCGCGCATGTGTGTGTATGCATGCATATATATACATACATATTTGAACCGTATTCATGTTGACAAAGGAAAAAGGTATGAATGAGAAGGAATATCTTAATATTCTCATTCAGACCTTTTCTATATACATATATATTTATGTGTATGTATGTTTGTATAAAAATAGATATAGGCAATTCATATACGTATATAAATGTATGTGTTTGTGTGTTTTCTTATTTCATGTCAATAAATTTTGCCAACGATTAAATGAAATTATTCTTAAGTCTCACCCTCGAAGAGAATAGAACACCTGTTCTGATATGGAATGAATAAAAGAACTTTTGAATGCTGTGCTGAATTTTTATTTCCTTTAGAGAAAACACGGCGACGCCTTGCCTTTCCAGCAGCCCGTCAGTCGAAAATTTTAGGCAAACTAAAGCTGTCAGCTTTTTTTTTTTTTTTTTTTTTTTTTTTTCCCATGGACGCCCTAGGTTTGGGAGAGTGACGTCACAGATTGCTGATTGGCCAGTGGGTATGCGACTGCCGGGCGCAAAAGGTTCGGTGAAACTGTCCTACACTTCAGTCTAGACACGGCGCTGTGGGAATCAAGGTCTATATAAGTACTTAAATACTTATATAGCCCTTGGTGGGAATCACACCCAGAACGTGTATAAAATCTAACGACTCCTCTCTCCCTCCCCCTCCCCCCCTCTCCTCTTTCTCACTCACTCTTACTTTGACTCTCTCTCTCTCTGTGTCTGTCTGTCTCCCGCTCCCCTTCTCTCTTTCTCTCTTCCATCTTTCTCGCTCACTCTTACTTTCTCTCTCTTTCCATTTTCATTTCCATAAACATGACTGCACAACCCCCCTTCTGTCTCCCTCTCACTCTCTCTCTTTCATTCACTCTCTCTCTCTCTCGGCAATAAATATGACTATATAACCCCTACACGAAACTAGTTAACCGTTCAATCAAAATGTCAATGTGGCATAGGCATATCCATTCATAAATTCTTATAGGGTGAATAACCACATTGGTTTATGCACCTTGTTACACAACGGTTAAAATAAACAATACTGTTGATTCCTATTTTACTGAAGATCTAAGAAGGGGTTTTTAACTCCATGAATGACATCAAAGTAATAGAACAGAATCCAGGGCCTTGTAGTAAAAAACTAATGAACAGATAAATGCATAACCTAGGAACATAGAATTATATTACACATATGCAATAGGATATTTCATAAAAATACACCACTAAACAGATTCCAACACTTATTCTGACCAGACCTATATATATCATAGAACACCTAAAATCTATACTTATTTTATTGAATCTCGAAATAAGGTGATGATAACACAAAAAAGGGGGAAGAACAAAGAGATGCTGTCGCCTGAGAGAGAGCGCGTGGAAGAGTGAATGGGTCAACTCCTCTCATTGGCTGAGAGCCTACAGACATCCAGGTGGCCTCTCCCTATTGGCTGTAAGGAAAAATGCGCGCGAACTGTCAGAATCCCTAACATGGCACTGGCTTTAACAACCTACAAATGATTAGTAAGAAAACAGGCATTCAAACCACAAAATATTAGAAACATCTCCAATCTAATCACTTTCAAAAGGAAACTGAAGGAGCTTGTTTTGAATTGTCAATGACATCTAATAATTAAATGATAAACCAAACCATATACCTTTACTTAAAATAATGTGGTCAATTTATTTGATCTTATCTTATAATTCCCCTACGAATGAACTTGATAGTATCTCCAGTTATTTTGTTTTACTGTACACTGCCCTGTATATGACAAAAAAAAAAAAAAAAAAAAAAAAAAAAAAATGCAAATAATGGAATTATGTGTTTTGACTTTGATTCTCTCTCTCTCTCTCTCTGTCTCTGTCTCTCCCTGTATCTGCCTGTCTGTCTTTCTCTCTCTATTCAGTCATAAATATTTCTCTATATTTATTGTCCACATGATTTCACTTTCCCCTGCCAGCATTCATGTAATGCCTGCTACTATGAACATGTAGGCACAGCAATACAATTACCCAAATATAGCAAGTAATTACATGCAAGGCATTTTGACTCTTGATAAAAAGAAATATGCCTTACTCGCTGCTCGCGCGGTATTGTTTTCGAGCAGTGTCCGAATGTAATCATATGATAAATACTCGATTTTTAAAGGCCTACAGTCAATATAATATTCACGGAATATAACTCCTTTGAGTTTCGATTTATATATGGTATATACAACATATAAAACTTTGTTTTTATGAAAGTAATAAGCTTTATATACACGAAGCTGAAGCCAACAGATTCTTGTCGGGACGCAGTGTTTACGACTGGAAATGGTGCAAATTTAAGTGGTGTTTGCATTTTGTTTGAGATTGTAAATTGTTTTTTCCTTGAAGTATTATTGAAAAGAAATATGAAAGTTGTAAGACCAATAAGCACCGGTGACTGTTGCTTGTTTAGCATTTTAACCTGTATTAATTAAAAATAATTTATTCTAACTGGCATCTGATATAACGCTCAGTGAAGGGCCCTGGGGAAGAAGCACTGTCAGGCATGCGCAAAAGCAAGGGGGCCGAGCTTATTCTCGACCAGGTGATGGGCTCCGCCTCTAGAAACGATGACGTCATGAACCCTTAAGGGCCGTCATCTCCTTTTTTTCCAAATCCCGGACGTCTCAGGTTTGGGAGTGACACAGTCACAGATTGCCACTGCCGGCCGCAAAAGGTGCGGCGAAACTGTCCTACACTTCAGTCTAGAAACAGCGCCGTGGGAATCACATCCAGAACGTGTATAAAATTTAACGGCTTCCCTCCCCCCCCCCTCTCTCTCTCTCCTCCCCCCCACTCTCTCTCTGTCTCCTCCCCCCCACTCTCTCTCCTCCGCCCACTCTCTCCTTCCACCCACTCTCTTTCTTTCCTCCCCCCCACTCTCTCTCTCTTTCCTTCCCCCACTCTCTCTCTCTCTCTCCTCCCTCTTTCTTGCTCGCTCTTACTTTCTCTCTCTCTCAAAATGTCAATAGGACATAGGCATATCCATTCATAAATTCATATAGGGTGAATATCCACATTGGTTTATGCACCTACACACTATTAGGAAAGCGTGCTGGAGATATTTCTTCTGTAATTGGGGGGGAGGTCGTGGTCGTGGTCGTGGGGCAGTTGCTCTCGTCGCTGCCGTCGCCGCAGTCGTCGTGGCCGTTGCACTTGGCAGAGAGATGGACATTCCGGCACGGGAGGCCCTGCCTCTGCGCATATAGATATAGACATATACACACATATGTATATGTGCGTGTGTGTGTGGACACAGATATAGTTTGCATTGTTTGCAGATGAGAAGAATATCGAGGTACCTTCCCTGACAGAGATCCAAGCACTACAGGAGATCCGGAGAAATAGGACTAAACCACCACAGACAGCAAATCGTATATTGTATATATATATATATATATATATATATTATTATATATATATATATATATATATATATTTTATTAAATATATACTTATATTTATAAATATATATATATATATATACAAATATATATTTATACATATACATACATATATCATATGCATTCACACACACACACACACACACACACACACACACACACACACCACACACACATATATATATATATAATATATATATATATATATATATATATATATATATATATATATAATGAGTCCGACTAATCCCCGCAAGGCTTCAGGAAAAAGGCTGTCAAAAACGACCCCTCGACCTAATGATATTTTGTATCCTATGACACAAGTCCCACAAAGAAAACAGATAAGAACAGATATTTATTTTCTGTCAATAAACTGGAATCTTTCCAGAAAGTTTTTCTTTCCTATAGCTACTAGCATTCAACTATTCATAACTAGTAATAACCGGACCTGAAAGACGATAGACAGTGAACTGGGCCAAGAGATTATCAAACATTTTTCGGGGACATAGACAAACGTTTAAAGTCTGAAGACCCTCGTCAACTCATTTAACCCCAACCTGCCTTGCGTTGCGCCTTCAGGGTACTAGTCACACTCACTCCCTCTCTCTAAAACAACTTTTTTGATTGGCTGAAAATGTCTCTATCAAATATCAAAGCAACGCGATGGTCTATGAACCGACCTTGGAAAGTGTATTTCGCATAAGAGAACACTATCTACAAGCCCACAACACTTCTCATTAGAATAAATGCACGTTTGTTATTCCATCAACGTACCTTCTTTGGCAACATTCCTGTTCTTCACACTGCTTGGTTTGAGTGTCTCTCTCCACTGG